CTCCACCTCACTGTATAGTTGAGGTACTGAACTGCGAGTGTGTGTGTGTGTGTGTGTGTGTGTGAGAGAGAGAGAGAGAGAGAGAGAGAAGAGAGAAAGAGGTACTACTATTTCAGTAAGTAGGAAATGACTGCATCCTTGCACCCACTTCTTTCCTTCATATCAAATTTCCTTCGCAAATTAGTGTTGGGAATCTGAGATTAGATAGCTATGCAGTGGAAGTTGCCCCCAGTTCCAGTCACCACACCGAGGTCCAAAATAGCAGAATATTTTTGCAGAATATAAGGTTTCAGTAATACAGTTCTGGACATTGATATATACAGCCATACCTGAAGTAGCTTCAGGTTGAGCGTTTTCAGGTTGCGTTGCGGCGACCTGGAAGTAACGGAACGGGTTGCTTCCAGGTTTCACTACTCGTGCATGCGCAGATGCTCAAAATGACATCACATGCATGCGCAGAAGTGGCGAATCACGACCCGCGCACGCACAGACGTGCAGACGCGGGTTGCGTTCTGCTCAGGATGCGAATGGGGCTCCAGAACGGATCCCGTTCGCATCCCGAGGTACCACTCAACTTGTAGGCTTTGTACAACTTGTAGGCTTTGTAGATATATGCATACATGTATAAAGTATTTCTGTTGCTCCAGCAAATCAAGACGTTGCACAGACAGACTCATTCACTTCACAAGACTGACTCCAACACTCAGACAGACTCACTGACCGATGAGCTGACATGCCCCAGTCACTTATATAGTTGGCAGTGGGCCATTACCATAGCAACTGGCTTGGCTGACCATGCACCTGTTGGCTTATCTCCTGCATGGGGTGTTCATGAAGGAAATGAACCTCCATATTTAGTTCCTTCATCAATTAGCACATCATGTTGAAATGGTGGAGGGAGGGGTAAAAGAGGAAGTTATTATTTTTATATTGGAAAAAGTTGAATAAAAATAAAATCTAAAACCCACTAAACAAACAAAAAACAGACATCCACAGCTATAGGGAACTGCACTGCATACACAGTGTGTTTGTTTTCTTTTGTACAGTAGAACTTCTTAACATCCCCAGAGGTAATTGGATTCTTTTGATCCTTGTCGTTTTCAAAAGGGTCTGACCAAAACAGTAGCTTTATGAATTTTAACATTATTCTGGATGCTTGCATTGCTCAGTTGTGACAGAAATGTCAGCAAAACGTAAGTTTCAATGTTAAAGTAAACAATTTGCATGTATACTTAAGCTTTCCAGGATAAAGGTCATAGAAACATGTGGAGCAGTATAGGATGCAATATTAAAAATTGCATTACTTACACATTCAGGGGCAAGTATTTTTCTATACCTTGTATAGCATTGAGCAGCTTGATTTCTTTATGGATTTCACTATTATGATGGCAGCACAAATCAATTGTCCTTGGTATCATTAAATCCAACTATTAGGATGATGTAAGTCAGCATTTTTCTCCATTGGGATCCTTTCTTGACAATACGAAGTAGATATAACTGTATTCTTTCGTGACTATTGTGAAAGAAGGCGGGAAAACAGATAAAGCTTCATAGGATGTAATTCATTTGGTAGTAATGGTCCTATTACAGTAATTACAATTTTGTCATTGTGACTGCAGTGTTTAAAGAACCTGGCCTGTGGCTTAATTGCAGATTTATAGCAACTAACCCTTTGGGGATCATTGTCGTCTGTAATCGCATTCTCGTAACTAATGATTTAAAAAACAGAAGTTCTGTAGCAATTCCACTGCTGCTAACCACCATCAGTTTCATTTGCTTCTATAATGTTGAAATGTAAGATAAAATATGGGCCTGTTAAGGGTACTATGTATGTTTGTATGTATTAAATTTTCACCTTGTAATGCTCAGCCCACATAGGGACTGGCCTCCACCTGCTTAAAGCAGAAGAAAAATAATAATAATATTAAATGACATCTCTCTCTCTCTCTCTCTCTCTCTCACACACACACACACACACACACACACACACACACACAAATAACAACACTGAAATATCAATGTTTTTAATTAAAGTGCTTTGGTACCCAATAATGGGAAAACTAAAGGTCCTCCTCAAGGGCCATTTCCCCTTACCATCCCAAATGCTGCCTCCGTCAGCATCCATTCCCCTTGTCTGTCTCTGAGGGAGAGATGGGTCAGCAAGGCTCCCTCCATCAGTTCAGCTGGGGTGGCTGTCATTTGACATACTTGCTTTCCCTTTTCCCTTTCATATAATGTATTTTAGATTGTAAGCTGTGATTTTAAACTAGGAACTGCTTTGAGTGCTTTGGCTGCAAGACAGCACATAAATGTAGGAACTCAATAAATTGCAGCTCTTTGCTAGTCTGGATAAATTCTTTCATTTGGCATGGGTGCCTGGGAGAGCGCCTCAGAGGATGACCTAAGAACCTAGGCAGATGTACATCAGACAAGACCCTCCTTCATATGTGGACTAAGGTTGGCATACAAAACTGAATGGTGAGGGTGACCTCACTGAATGAGGTGAGGCAGGTGGCTCCTAAAGAGGGAGTCAAATCACAAGTGGGGTTTGATATGCTGGGAATCAGAAGTGGGGAGGGGCCTACGGCACTCATATCCTGCTTGGGGGCATCTGATACGCATTTGGTTGGCCAACATGAAAATAGGAGGCTGAACTACATGGGCTTTTGGCCTGATCTAGCAGCAGGTAGTGGTTAAGTGGACTAGTAATCTGGGGAACCGGGTTCGTGTCCTCGCTCCTCCACATGCAGCTGCTGGGTGACGTTGGGCTAGTCACACATCTCTGAAGTCTCTCAGCCTCACTCACCTCACAGAGTGTTTGTTGTGGGGGAGGAAGGGAAAGGAGAATGTTAGCCGCTTTGAGACTCCTTCAGGTAGTGATAAAGCGGGATATCAAATCCAACTCTTAATTATTTTATAACTTTTTCAGTGGCGCAGTGCCCTCTCCATAGAGGCTCCCCTGGCACCCACACTGTGGTCTATTCAGTGCCAGTTGAAAATCTCATTTTCCGAAGCCATTAATTTTTATATATGGGCGTTTTATTCCCTAGCCTTCATCATATGATCCCATTCTATGTTATAATACAATAAAAAGCAATATTGTTTTAAACAATAAAGCAACAAACCAATAGAGGACATTCTTTTTGACAGCCTCTAAACTATCCTCCTTTTCACAGAGGTCTGTCTGACACGTTTATTATATAGCTTTCACCTTTTGCTGATAGCACACCACATTACCCCGACCTTTGACTCTATCTTGAATTTTTATATGACTCTTCCATGCAAATCTTTCATCTCTGCTTGTTGTTATTTATTACATTCATATCTCACCTTTCTTCTAATGAGGAAGCGGTTTTTCTTTTCAACACCCCGAGAAGTAGATTAGGCTGGGAGTCAGTGACTGGCCCAAGATCACCAAGTGAGCTTAATGGCTGAGTGGGGATTGAAAACCTGGTCTTCCATGTCCTGCTTCAAGACACACCTGCACCTCACTGTTGTGAGGGTAAACATCTGCAGCAGGGAACCTTTTGTATCAGTGGAGGCTGTATATGCAGTTGAGAACTACAGTGGCTGGCAGAGGCTTCCCAGGGCTTCCCAACCCTACTTAGAAATGCCAGGGATTGAGCTTGGAACTTTCTGGGCTGTATTCAACTCTCTGCTTGTTGTTCTGCTCTTGAGTAGAACTACTGCTGAATACTACCATCTGTATGCAAGGCAGATGCTCTCCTGCTGAGTTATGGCCTTTCCCCACCAGTGTAATATTGGTGTATTAGTGGTGTCAGTATTTGGTACATAAACTGTGGAGCCATGAATTTTGGTTGAACTTGAGGACGAAGAAAGGCTGGCTGAGTTGCTATTTGCGATTGAACCTGGTGCTGGAGAACAGTGATAGCTAGAACATAAAGGTCAAGGTTTCCTGTATGTTTGCAGGGAGATCATGTTTAACAAATAGCAGAACACTGTGAATGTTGGTCTTATACCATCTTTGCCCCGGGGAGGTGACTCAGTGGGCAAAAGCTATAGTTAAGTACATGATAAGTAAGCAATAATTCAGTTATCTCAGCAGGGTTGCTAATTAGTGTAGGTTGCATTGGTTTTTATTATGCTACGTACCTGACCACTGGGAACTGTGTGGAATCTCCCATCTACTTTCAGATACATCTAACAGCTGTCAGGTAGTTATGATTCCCAGATGTCTTTAAAAGAAAGAAAGAAAGAAAGAAAGAAAGAAAGAAAGAAAGAAAGAAAGAAAGAAAGAGAAAGAAAGAAAGAAATGGAGCTAATAATGCTAACCCTTTCAATCACAAGTTCACCTTAGGGGAAATTTTCATGTTTGTGCTTCATGATAGGTTTTCCTTGCTCACAGTTGATTATCCAAGATGCTTTCATAGTTTGGGCCTTACTGGAAAAGACTGAAAAGAAGGCTATATACTTCATAAATGAGAACAAAAATAAGCATGGCATTAGTGCAGAGCTGGAGAGCCTTTGACCCTGTTTTTGCCATACAGCTCCCAGCAGAGCAAGTCAACATAGCCAGTGATTGGGGATGATGGGAGCTGTAGTCCAACAGCATCCGCAGATCCAGAAGTTAGCCACCCCTGCTTTAGTGTCTTGTATATACTTTCACACACAAGATGTATGAATACACAAGTTCCTTATAACTGCAAGTATAACAGCCTTTTAAAACCCAATGTCTTCCATGATTTTTGGTATCTTGCATGCTGAAATGGCATCTGCGCTCTGAAATATAGCATTCTAGGGTAGCTGAGGCCTTAATGTGGACATCAGGCACTGAGACACTACATATGTCAGGACTGCTTAACCCTCCCATTCTCCCATTAATTCAGAGCTGAAGCATGCAACCAGCAGACTTGTGCAGTGAACCTGTTGCTGGACTATACCGCTTCAGACAGTTAGTGGAGAAGCCCATATTTAAAATAATGTCGGGAAGGAAAAGCCAGAAATGCATTGGTGGTAACTAAATTACTGTTATTTTGCAGTTTGCCGGGAAGATTCACACCAGTCTATAGTCTCGTGTGCTGCTGTGCTGCTTACTCCCATTGAACCAACTGCTGAAGGAAAGAAGAAGGAACAGCCAAAAATGACTGAAGTGACCAAACAGTGAGTGAGACGTTACAATATACTTCTGGTTTGCTTAGCAAAAAGTGAGAATAAGTTCTGCCTATCAGGATTCACACACTGCATCTTCCTCCACTTACTTCTCAGATAACTGACTTAACAAGCACTTCTGACTGTTGCTATGTATAGCAGAAAATTTAGGTTGCACAATTAAAGTTGTTTTGGTGCTGTTGCAGCCACCTTAATCTCTGGATGCTTGCCTTTTCCGGTTTATAATACTATGTGCCAGGAGAAGCTTGACAGAAGATGGCAATAAACACCCTGATTTCTTGAAGGGATGTTTCAACAAAGAAGGGGGTGGCTTTCCACAGCTGGTGGTCCAGCTTTGAAACAGCCTCCACACCAAGATTTGGCAGAGCGTATAAACTGTGGCGTTTTCTTTCCCCTGGCAAGCTAAAGAATTTTCCTTTAGACATTGCTATAAAGTTGTTTTATGGGTGCATTGTTGTCGAAATTTTCTGCAAAAGAAATGGTTTTATATGCGTATGGTATATTTAGTTGTGAGCTGTGATAGCAAAAGTAGGGCATAAATTAATAAAGATAATAAAATGTTATTATTCCCTGCACGCGCGCACGCGCGCACACACACACACTACAAAAGCACACTGAACTGACAGTTTCAATGAACACCTACCTATAACCCACAATATCCCTTTTCTAAATAAATACAGTCAGGTTGGATTCTACCAGTACACCCATGGAGATAGGAATTTGGTTCTTGGCCAGTTAGAGCTCCCTTTGGACTGGCGTAATAGTCAAAATGTGTAGCCCCTAGTCGAAATGTGTAGCCACCTGATCTTGTATTCATGCAACAGATTGAACTTCTGGGTGGATAATCTGGGAAGAAGCACAATTAACCACTGGAAGATGAAAGCCCAGTGAATGATGTGAGAACCATGAATATCATGTTTTGTGTAGGATCAAGTACCTTGGCAATGCAGAACAAGTCATACTTGTCTCCCTGATCTCCCATAGCACTTACTTCCCCCAGTGCAAATTTGTATTATATTTCTCCAACAGCATTTACAGGTGAGTTCAGAGGAAGATGAAGCGGAAAGCTAATAAGCTAGAGACTTTGAACACTTCAAGCCTAGATTATATTTTTTTCACACATACTACCCTGCTGTATGACATTTGTTCAGAGTTGATTTGTTGTTTGAATTCATAGAAATAAAACAATTTTAAAAAGCGCACTGACATTTGGGGCAAACATTCCAAGTCTCCTTGGTGTTGCTATGGTGACAGTTCAGCAAGCCTCTGTTGAAGGAATGCGGATGCTAAAACTTCTTGTGAACTTTATTTTAGCTTGGTAGGAAGCGCCAAACATATTCATAAAAAACACACACACACAAAAGCCCAGAGACATGTTGAGATGGCTACATAATGGAAGGGATGTGTCCTAGCTGAGAACACCAAAAAAGGAAGCTAGTTTGTGTTCTGGAAAATAAAGCACTTTTAAGTGTGGCTGATCACAGGCTGCCAGATGAAAGCTCATGCTGCCTTGGAAGGAACAATCTAAAGAATCTGGAAATACGTAATAAAGGTCTCTTGTATGCTGAGGATTTCAGTGAGACTATGCTTTGTTGCTTGATGCTATCAGCGTTGACAAACCACAATAATAAAATGTCAGTGTAACAGAGTGCAACTCCACTGAGAACTGATTCACACAATCTATTTTTGTCTCCGCCATTTCCATGTTTATTTTGAGTGAGCTGTTGCTGTTATGCTGCTGCTTCTCCCTGTACCAGCCTGCCCCTCTCAATATCTCTGAGAGAGGGGCAGTGCATGGGGATAATAAATAATAATAATAATAAATTTTGTTTATACCCTGCCCTTCCCGGCCAAAACTGGGCTCAGAGTGGCTAACATCAAATATATGACAAATTACCATAGCAATCAATTAAAATACATCCTACATCCTAAAATCAAGTCAGAATCAAAGTAAAATCCAATCAGGAAGCAGGAAAGGGCCTTCTCTTTGGTAGCGCCCTGCTTTTGGAATGCCCTTCTATCCCAGATACAGCCGACACCTACTTTACTTTCTATTTGGTGCCAATTTAAAATGTATTCATTTGCCCAAGCAGATTTGTGATGGAGCTGGGCATTTTGTTTAGACTCAAGATAGAGCAGCCTATAGTATTTAAGGATACAGTAGTTGAAAACTTTCCAGTGTTCACATATGAAGGGATGAGGTAACAAATCATAGTTCTGCTGCTGTAGGAAATTAGGGGTGAGAGACTGGATTCCTGGACATTAATCAGGAAAGCTCTTTTTTAATTGGAAACTTTATGTCTTAGCACTCCAGTGGCACCACAGCACTACTTTTGGTAAGTTACAGTAACTTTCCTTTGCAGTACTGCAAGTAACAGTGACCAAGCATATATGATGCAATGGTACACGGTGCAGAGGTTTAAAAAGACTGGCAAAATTAAATATCCTGGGAGGAATTAAATGACATATTATATTCACCATAAAACTGGTGATGAGGCTGAAAAGCAATTCCAGAGAGTTTAGATTTTGTTTCTCTTAATTGGTGCAAATAACATGACCTAACTAGTTGAACAAAGCCCCTTCAGTTCTTCAGATGCCCAGTTTGGGAGGATCATGTAGAGCAGGGGTCTGCAACCTTTAAGACAAAAAGAGCCACTTGGACCCGTTTCCGAAGAAAAAACAACAACTGGGAGCCGCAAAACCATTGCGACATTTAAAACAAATATATCTCCAGAGCCGCGATCTGACAGCGGGCGGGAAGGTGACGTCGGGACGGTGCGTGACTAACGCACGCACCGCCCCCATGCGACGTCACAGCCAGTACAGCGCCCGCCACAGTGAGGAGTGTCGGGACGCACAATGCGTCTCCTCCCCTCGCTAGTATCCGCCCCGGAGCCGCGGCAAAGATGTAAAAGAGCCACATGTGGCTCCCGAGCCGCGGGTTGCAGACCCCTGATGTAGAGGGCCCTAATGTAACCATGGGGCCATCAAAATGGAGTTACATCCAATTCAGCTTTTCATTCTGCTATTATTATTATTGCAATGAAGTTTTTGGCATTTTGGTTGTCACTGGTGAGGAATCACAAGCCATAATGATGTCAGGACATAGGGCAAGTTGGGGAGAGGGCGGGGCTTGATACAGAGCTGCCATTTTTTTAATAGAAAACTTGAGAGTTTTGCTCCTCCTTGAAAACTTTATCCCCATTCTCCAGGGGATATGGTGCATGCTGTTTCTGTTTGTAATCTAAATTGGTTGTATTAAGTCTTCAAGTGTGTGATTGATAGGTCCCGGGTTGCAAGGTGAGATGGAAGGAAGTAGATAATTAAGCTGCTTGTGCATTATCTGGGCAGAAACATCGAAAGAGCTGCTTTACTGAACAGGAGAGCACCTTATCAGATTTGTTATTGTAATGAACTGGTGATGCTTTTTATTATGCTGTGTGGCAGCTGTTAACACTCTCATAAAACATATTGCCAACCAGAATAATGCTAAATTGCTGTTCAAACACAGCTATCTGGGAAGCCAAGGTTACCTTGATGGCACAACAGAAATAGTCCACTGATTTACGCAGGTAGCACATTTCCTTCTGTATGGTATTGACTTGGCTACATCTAATCTAGCTCTATACCCAAGAACTTTAGAGCATTTTCACAGCCTTCTGGGTTTGGTGTGAGTGATTGCCCAGTGCCAGATGCACAGCTGATTGCAATTTTACCTGCCACATCCTGAGAGTCCTGTATTAATTTCCAGCATGCACTTGACCCCCTACCCCTTGGCATGGTGAACAGCAAGTCTTGGTAATGCTAAGCCAATTTTACATGGATCTTTTTACACAACGGTTTTTGACAAAATGCAATGGGAGACCACAAAATAAATTTCATTTCCCTTGTTAGTGTTCAGAGTTGTGTGTGACCGCAGGTGTGCATATTCGACACAGTATATGGCACCTTGGAAAGCTATGCTTTCATTTTTGATAAAATGAATTACTAGGCTTAATTAATGCAGGTAAAAACTTGTAAGCAAATGAGCAAGCCTGGAAAGTTTTTGGAAAGTACAGTGAGATTAAGCGATGCTTCTAAGGCTCTGGGCCAATGGTCACTAAAGCCTAATCTTCTTGGAAATTAACCTGCATCTCAATGGGCATGATTTATTATTAAACACAGAATTTGGGTTAAGAGAATACATGCAGTTTTGTTCTTTTTTGGCAAAGGCAATCCTTTGATTAAAACAAGAACCATTCATTGTATATTTTGATTTGCCGAGTGACAGACTCGGCTTACTAAGGATGCTCATAAAGTTGGTTTGGCTGAGGTCCCGGTATGAGTTTTGAGGGCTCATAAAGCTGACCTCGTAGAAGAGGTAAACATTACAGGGCTCCTGAATTATTTTCCAGCTTGGATTTAAAAAGCTGCCTTTATAGAAGAAAGATGTGGAATGCTATGGTTTACGACTCCAGATCAGATTTTCTGGAAAATTGACCAGTGGACTTGGCATTTATGGATATTTTGACAATTTGTTATCAAGTTGATTTAATAACTTTCCCCCTCTGCCTCTCTTTCAAAATACAGAATACCTAGGTTATGCCCACTGGCCCACCCACTCTATTCATCCAGCCAATCTACCCAATTCCCTTTAAGCAGAACTCACCTGCCTGGGCTGCATGATGATTATCTAGTCCCAACAGTGAAGTAAGACATTGAGGAAGGTGTCTCTCTTATTTCTCCTCTAGTGCGCTTGGATTGAAGGTTTGACAGGGGCCTGGCAAATTCATTTGGAAAAATAGACCAAACTATTTCTGTTTTTTTCATCAATTATTTCCTTCTGAGTCAATCTAGTGGAAGTCTGTGTATAAGTTTTGAATGCTTGTCTGTCTTGCTAAGAAAAAAAAGTGAATTGCTGGGGAAAAAATTATTTTTATATGTATTACAACATAGGTATGGAATGCAATATTCATTTAATAATAAAGTACCTAATCTTGCAATAAAGACTA